ATATTGTTAATTGCACAAATCTGGACAGTTTTTAAGCATGAAAAATGGATCTAAATATAGTTAAACTTAAGTAATTTTGAAAAGAGTATAATCTATACATTGACTTGTAAATTGGTTATTACATTACTGTAAATTACATTAGAAGACTTATAAAATGGTTCTTTTTAAAATTCCATTTTTGAGGGTTAAAAATAGAAGAAATCCAGGACTTGTCACCCTATTTACAATGATTTTTGAACTATTTAACTACCATTTAAAATACAAAGAATAAATCAATAATATAGTAAAGATTTTGTAAACCTTACCAGTAATAAATTGAGAGATGATCATCAATTTGTGGACAGGAGTGAAAATTTGCATTAAATATCATCTTCAGGGCCATTTGTCTTTCTCAAAATACTCTCCCTTGAACCTTGTACATTCTTATTGCCGTTATACCACATGTATTAAGTCTTTAAAGCCATTTTTTAACAGTATGCAAACTGTTGTCACATTGCTCTGCAAGCTTTTTCATTGGATGTAAAATGTTTCCCTTTCAAAGCTGTCTTTGGATGTAATAAGAGAAAAAAGTTGCAAGGTGATAAGTTCAGAGAGTATGGTTGACATGATAGAATCTTGGTATTTATGGTAGTGATCACAGGCTGCACATTATTAGCCATGATGATAACAGTTTGCATGCTGTCGAAAAATGGCTTCCAAGAAGCTTTTAACTATTTAAGCTCTGAAATTTCTTCTTTCTGTGTGCCTGGAGACAAAATTGTTTTTACCACTCAGGCTACAAGGGGAATTTGTATAGCAAAACCAGTGAAACAACTTTCCCATCAAACTTTATTTTGACTTTTTGTAAATAGTCTAAACTTCAAATTATGAAAAAATTTCCCTTCAGCAATTTTGTTTGGAATGGATTCAGCCAATTTTTGGCTGATTTCCTGTTTAAAGAGTTAATGCATGGGTACAACACTGGCAAAAATGTATGAGGTTATTTTGAAAAAGGGTTTATGGGATATTCCAAGATGACATCTAAAGTAAGTTTTTGCTTCTGTCCACAAATTAAATAATCACTCTTCATAATATTTATCATCAACATTAATATAGATTTTTTAAAATAAGTCAGAAATTCAGGAAAGACAGAATTTAAATTTGTTTATTGAAAAATATTTTTTAGATTCTTTTTTATTTATCATCAGCTAACATAAGAAAATACAAATACAGTAGAATCTCTTGTTGTTCTAGTTTCTTGTTCCGCTTTGAATTTGAAACAGTAGAATCTGATTATTTATTTTATCATATTTTTATTGATTGTTTAATATTATCAGAGTTAGCACTTTGCAAAACATGAATTAAAATTTAAGTTTTATATCTAGATAAACAGGCATTTTTAAATTTCTTTTTTGATTACCAGCTTCAATATGTGATTGATAACATGAAATTGTTAAGTTTTAATCATTATTTTCTGTATTTTAATCATTCAATATAACAATTTAAACTGTTACAGCAAAATTTAACAATTAAAAATTGCTGTTACATGCTGGACAGAATTACCATTAATTTAATAAATCTTCAACTTTATACATTGTTTTTAATTGATCTAACATGAATAAAACCAGAATTTCTATTTATTGTAGTCCTAATTATTCACACCACTAAATGTAATCAGTCAGTTATTGTTTCAAAATAGGCCAGTTCCAAAGTGATCCCAATAAGTGGATTCTATTGTACTTTTGTAAATGTTCTGTTTTGTATGTACTGAGAATGATTCTTAATAAAAGTTTTGGTATATTAAGTAATAGATGGGTCATCATCAGGAAATATATTAAGAATTAAAACATATTGCTTTACTTAAAGAATGAAATAAATTATTGTTAAAATTTTTCATTAAATAAACACAAGGTTTGACTATTATGGCTTTAATTTCTGTCAAAAACTATTAATTCTGAATTTTGTGAAATTGAATTTTTCATCTTAATACAGTTAAAAACTAAGTCTTAATAGGTTTTGAAAAATATTTTAATACAGTAACTTACTTAGATACATTTTTTTAATAGCATACAATCTTTTTTATGGATGTGATTTCTAACACATTGAGCAATATTTACTCTATTAATATATAAAAAATTTCTTTACATAAAGATGATAATTGGATAGCCATCAGATAAAAATGACATTATAGATTATAATAGATAAGGGTTTTTAGTTGATTCTGACATGACAATAACAATGGCCATAAAATATAATAATTATTATTTATTCTTACTAGATAAATTTTAAAACTTTTAGGAGAAAAATTCCTCATGTTTCCTTAAGACCTTAAAAATGCAATTGACAATATATAAATTTTGTGTTAATTTCAACTTGTTAATTCTTTTTAATAATAAGATGGAATGAATTTACATTAATTATTTTTTTTAATTTATTTACAAATTTAGCAGATTTCTGATACTGTTGTGATTAAAAACTATTAAACATTATCTTAATTTCCATTGTACTAATTTTTATTATTTTTTGCTATGCAAAAAATAATAAAAATTTATTTGAGAAATCAAATGTGCAAAATAAAATGTTTACTACTAATAATAATAAAAACACTGTTTACAAAGGCATAATCAAATAGCAAATATAATATACATACAAACACAGATGATTAATTAAAAGGACATGTTAAATAATTTTAAAGTGTATAACTTGAAGACTTATTAATTATCATTATTATTATTAATTTATTAATAATTCGTCTATGACCTGCTTCAACAGCTAGCATAATGAAAGCATTTTTAAATATTGTATTGTGAACAAATATGATTAATTTAAAGCACTGGTTAAGACCAATAATTTAACGATTTCATATTATCAGCTACATATGGAGGCTGATAGTGGAAAAGAAACAATAAAAATGTCTATTTACAGAATGACAATGATAATCAGTTTCTAGTTACAATAAGCAAAGTTTTCATAATGTATTATATGGTTGGAACTTGCTAATTTTGATAACTTAAACCAACTGATGATAACTATAATTAAATTAAGTGTAGTTTATTGTATTTAATAAAAACGAATTTGTAAAATGTAACATTAAACATAAGTAATTTAATTACATAGATATAATAAAGTAGGTTTTTTTGGTTGGTTTTAAATTGTGAAATCAATAAAAATTTTGAGAAAGACATTTTTCTTAATAAGTGGTTAGAAATCTTTCACTTTGTGTTGTAAAATAAATTTAATTTTGATATGACAATTTTATCATATCTTGTAAAATGATAGTTTAATAATTTTTATTTACTTTTTAACAACTTGATTTAGTTCATCCTTAATGGATTTAATATTAGTTACACAGAACTTTAGTTTTATCTTGATGACTCACGCTCTTTTCTCTTTAGCAGTACTTTTTAGAAACTTTCTACAGTACAATAAAGTTTCGTCATAGTTTCTTATCTATAATTGCCCCTTTATCGATAATTGCGAAAGTAGTCGAAAATACTCCTGTATGAGTCACTCTTAGTGCATTCAATAGAAAATTATATATTCAACATTTTAGTAAAAATACATTATGAATATTCCGCATAAAAGTAAGTTCAATCGATTTCACTATACATAAGTTTGAACTTTTTACTACCAAATTCGATAAGATAATTTATCATCGTAAAACTTCGATTCGTACTTCATCCGTTTCTAAGTTTGATATTCAATGTTAAAAGTTTCGAACATTCCTGTCATATTTTGTTTAACATACGAAAGGAAAATTACCGTTGGTACGATAATCAATATCTATTTTTCTGCTGAAGTGACAGTTCAAGGTAAAGTGGATTGTATAGATTAGCATCAATCACCTTGAGATTTTTCCGATTTTTTTCTTTATTAATATGATCACATTCTAGGAATATCATTGTTAATTTTTTTACTTGCCAATTTATTGATAGCCTGGTTTTAGAGTTGTTTTTTATTCTCAACATTGCAGACTGAATAGTCATAGCTCAGACTGATTTCTTGCCTGTCTTTACCTTGACCCATATTCTGACAGTTTTAAATCCTAAATTGGGATATGCAAATGAATACAGAAAAAAAAAATTATATAACTGAAATGATTTTAAAAATATTCGTGCGATACAATTGCGTATTCTTCTTTTATTTTTCACTTATTAAAATCATTATTTGCTTTCGGAGAATGATATTTATATACTATCGCGGATTTTCTATTTATAATTATTATTTACTATGGTTTCTGCAAAATCGTAAAAGTATTTTTGAAATTATTTTTAACATACGCAACATATGCAGGAGATTTAGTGATGATGACGTCACTTTTTTCATTACTTTGGCACTTGTATGTGTTTGATTAGTTGCCAACTGTCTAGAAAATTTCTAACGAGAACAATGATTTCTTAAGTTCGTTGATTTCTTATTAGTTTTATTTTTTAGTTCAATTTCTATTTATAATAATCAAGTTTTTGATGTGTAAGAATTAACACGCAATGAACAAAACTCAGAATATTAATAATAATCATAATTACAACATTATGTAAATTATCTACTTTTAAATATAGAATTTATATATAAACTGTAGGTGTAGTTTATATATAGGCCTACAGGAAAACTTAGCCTACCTATTATAATAGTAATAGATTATCCTGTAATTTTTATATCAAATATAATGTACAGGGATCTCATCCTGTGATTGAAATTACTTTCATGTTTTGATTTCTTAATTTAGAGACAGCTAAAAATTAAAACTCCACACCTCTTACTATAAAAAAAGTACCAATATGGTACATCCTTTTTATTTTATTATAATCATCTATCGAAGCGGTTATCTGATTCGCTAACCGAGCAATATAATTGAAATGGATATGCCTCCTCCTCTATCCGTGCAACCTGTTCTGTAGATGCAGGTGGCTTTAAAAAAAGTGTAAATTTTCATTTTATAGATAAGAGTTGTATTATAAGGTAAGTTGACTACACACTCTCTAGAATAAGACCGATCTGCTGTTATGCTACATTGTCAATTGTTTGATATTTTAGTGTATATTATTTTAAGATATATCGAGAAACATGCTAAATTTATCTCCTTTTTTTTATCATGAAGTACTTTACTTAAGAGAATTACGTACATAGCTTTATCAACATCCTGTTTGATTAAGAATAGGCTACATTCATTTCAATAATTTTTTAAATAATAACTTTATAAAAATTGTAACGCATTGAATATTTTATATATTCCAGTCACGCGTAGAGGCGAATAACCTAATTCCTAGCAATTTTATCTACTTAAAAGTACTTGACAATATTTTTATTTTATTGAATTGCCTTCTATCTTTGCAATATCAAATGCGTTATCGAAATATACGCTTTAAAATGTTGTTTACTAAAAATAAGTTTTCTTGTTTACTTTAGTGGAGTTTGATCTAATCTTGGATGCGTTTTAATCTTAGTATACGTCGGGTCAGAAGGGAAAGTAATAAAATCCTTTGACTATTCAGTTTAGGTGCATCGAACTTGATGTATGTACGAGATTGACTTGCAAATTTCTTTATATAGAATGTTCCATTCCCATTTTGACTAAGTCTGCTCTTTAGTAGTAATTTGATTACAGTTACTGTTATTTTAGCGTAGGCAACTCTGGCTTGGAACAAAACAGTTCATGTTATTCAAATATCTTGTTTGAAACACCGTCGAGAACGTGTAGGGGTCCAAGGTTAGAACGGGCCCCTTTTTCCTAAATAAATAAAATACGACACATAGAATATATTTGTTTTTATTAATAAAAACAGTTTTTAAATTTTTTTGTTAGTAAAAATAACATTATAAGTATAGAAACCATTGCGGGCCCGGGGAAAATTTCCAGCTCCTCTGTCCTCGCGCGACGGCCTTGTTGAAACGTGCTGTACTTGGAACATTTTTTTTTTAATTATTTATAAATCGTATCGAGTTTATATAATGCTGTAGTAAATTACATCTAAATTGAATTAAAATAGATAAAGTTGTCATCTCGACTCACCTCCACTATTCAAAGTCCTTAACATTTATTATAAATGTTATCAGTGATAAAGGTCGTGCCTGACGCACGTGATTATCTTATAAACAACCATTGCAACTGACATATTAATATAAATTCACCCTTCTGTATATCATTTTTAATCCTTTTTATACATTTTACAAAAATTGTAAGCTGCTTTTTATGGTAGCGATGATATTTTGCTAAGAAGTGCAAATTCAAATAGTCACATCGGCGTATACGTCGGTGGTTTGACAGCTTACCTACCCATCGTGCAGTGCGTCAGTCCTTCGTCGAGCAAACTCCAGTGACCTGTATTGATGGTAAATCGTGTAAGAGAGGATGCGATTGGCCATTATTTTAACGATGTCATTCGGTCGACTAATAGTGTTTGGCGTAACTGAGACAACTTCCTTCCGAGTTAGGGTTGGTCGATGCCTTCTTTTTGTTTAGAAACCGAAGATGAAATAGGCCAATTAGGTATTTGCGATATAAATAGTCCGTCTCGATTAATAGGTAAACGAATACGATTTCGATTAAAAGACATCAAAATCAATAATTTTATTTATTATAATAGAATATTTAAACATGTTTTTTAATTGTCCGTGCCTTAAACTGTTTACTTGGCAAGTAGCTTCTGTAATAAAAATATGAACTTCTCTAATGTTTTAAACAATGCTATTTAATGTTTTCTTTATTAGATCTGGTCTGTTGTTCTGTAACACTTGCAACATTGTCATTCAGATGTTTAATATTAAGTTACTAGATGTAATTTCCTTTCTATTGTTTGGTATTGAAATATATTACTCAAAACATGTCATTTACAAAAGAAGAAATCTGATTCCAAATTTATGACACACTTAACTACAGTAGTGGAAAAAGGTGATGACATTTCTGCCTTAAATGCATTGATTCTGAATACTAATTTTGTTTTCTTTCATATTAAATGATACTTAATGTTCTTTTAGAGAAATCTAATTTTATTTTGAATTTCGGAGCAGAGTTTCGGGTTTAATATTAAGTTTATAAAACTTATTACATTAGCAAAACACAAATGTAAAAATGTATAATTATCAGTGTTCTTTTTATACAAGTAAAAACAGTTTGGTCATACTAATATAAGATTGATATCAATATAACTTTCCAATAATTTAAATTTTATTGTGTAACATAATTACAATGCAAGATTTTTTTATTCTTGAGAAACTGGAAAGTTTAGACTTTATATGTTTTTGTTACAACTAAGATGATGGTCTTAAATTGTTTAAATCTAAAATGAAAAATTCAGAAAATAAGAAAATGCAGAAATTCTTGAAAAAAGAAAATTAAAGCAAAAATAGTTATATATCAGGCAAAAATTTGTGGATAAATGTGTTAAGATTCATATAATCTCTAAGAATAAAAATGCCATGAAATTAAAATAAACAATTTTAAAATATTTTATTACAAATGCATTACTGTTATTAAATAATGTAATTTAGATTGATCTAGACTAAGAATTAATTTAATCCATTACTTTAATCCCTTTTAAAATTTTCGTTTTTTATTTATAAATAATTATTCAAATTTTTTTCTCAGAATAGGAAAAATTATGATATATGTTTGTTTTCAATACAAAATTCATTTATTAATTTAATTATTAATGAATAAAATTTTAAAAAATTTAATTCAAATTTAAATTTCTTTTATTAATTAATTTTTGTATATTCCAGATATTTAATTAGACTTAGTTTTTGATTACAATTTTGATTTGTCTAACTGAACAAATGATTGCTTTTACTTATTGGTATTTGCAATATTATTATTTTTAGTGTAGCATTTATTAATCCAAACAATTTTGTAATTCAAGTATTCTCTTAATTTTTTAATATTAAAGTACTATATTTTTATAAAACAATACACAGTTTGTGGATAAAACAAAAAGAATATTATTTTAAATATATATATGTGTATATATATATAATTTTAATTGTTTTAATTTTCAGGCAGCATATCTTGGTTATCACAGATGTCTTGTCCAAGACCAGTTGTAATATGCGGACCATCAGGTAGTGGTAAATCCACTCTGTTAAAATACCTAATGGATGAATATGGTGATTGCTTTGGTTTTAGTATATCACGTAAGTATTATTATAATTTAATAATTAATTCTTGTATGATCTTTGTTAATATCTATTTAAAAATAATCTATTATTTGACAAAATAAATTAAGCAATTTCCATATATATTAACAATCTGATTTTCAATAATATATGGTTAGAATAGCATCATAAGGTTTTTAAAATGTTTAATTTTCAGTTTTTAATTAAATTTTTATTTATTTTATAAGTAGTTTCAGTTATGAATAGAAAAACACATCAAATTATTGTTGAATCAGTTTTATAATTTAATAAAATTACCAAATAATGAAAGATGTATAATAATTGCTGTCATAGCTTTTTGAAATAATAATATCATTATTACGCAAGGAATTGTTTAATAAAACATGAAATTATAATCTATCTTAACTACTAATTATAATGTAATCTAGATGATGTGCATAATTACAAAAAAATAATTTTTGTATTTAAATATAAATTATATTTAAATTGTTTTAAAGAACTAATTATCCCAATTTATATTTTAATACTTGGAAGGGATAGAAACATTCAATTTTGTTTCTATTCGTCTAATAACATTTTTCTAAGATTTTCTGCTTTTTATAAAAATGCTGTAAGATAAATATGAATAAATTAATAAAAGATGAAATTATAATCTATCATGAAATAAACATGAAATTATAATTATAATAATTGTAAACAGCAATATAACTGATCAAGTTCAAAGATCTACATCATCATCTTCTGAGAAACATCTAATCATACTGGTTTTCAGAAACCATGGTTATTATTAGCATTACAGAATCAGTGAATGACGTTAAAACATGATTTATACATGTACAGTACAGTACATATAAATTTAAATATTGAACTTATAATTAAACCAATGTAATTATTGAGTGCATTATCTGGTATAGTGGGCTGGAATTAACTTATATTGAATTAATAAATTGTGTAAAATTGAAACTATTTGAAATAGTCAATATTTCAAGTTTCAATTTTTTTTATTGTAAATTGATTTTCATCTAAACATTTATGTTTGAATAGAATTTAGCATTGGATTTGACTTTTTTAGTAAGCTTTGTTTTCATAAGTGATTTTCTTTTCATCTTTTTTTCATTTGTATATTCTAAATTTTTTTCCCCTTTGTACAGAAACATTGTTTATATATTTCTATCTCTTAGTATACATTGACATAAATTTTAAAAGAGGGATCTTTTTTTATTTATTATCTATTTTGTCTGAATAAAAAGTTGTTTGGCTATATTTATAGCTTACATAACATAAATTTGTTTAGATACAATATTTTCTGATTTTACTTTAGTTGTCATAATTAAAGAATGTGAATTATTAATAAAATACTATTTTTATATAAATTTCAATTAAAATATTATATAGAAAGTTGTATTTAAATGTTAATTATATATTTTTAATTAGATACAACCAGAAAACCAAGACCTGGTGAAAGTAATGGAAGAGGTAAATTTTTTAAATATATTTATATAATTTTAAAATTAAATATTTTATTTAAATATATATATAGAAATTAAAATGTTTCAGAATATCATTTTGTTGATCGTGATGAAATGGAAAGATCTATTAGTAATGGTGACTTTATTGAATATACAGAATTTTCAGGAAATTTATATGGCACAAGGTAAGAATTAAAATTAATAATAATAAAAATATTTATTTTTCTAATATGTAGCTAGGAAGGAACAAATAAGATGTTTAATTTAAATTATTTCTAATAATAATTATGCGAGTTAAACTGTCATACAATTTTCTTAGTGATTAGAAAAATAATACAATATTTATTATGAAAAATCTGTTATAATTTTTCAAAATAATCATTCAAAGATTTTTACTTTAATTTTTAGAATTTGTTAAAATATTTTGACAAAATGCACATTTTTGAAAACTTTTATATAAAAAAAAGTAAATAAATATTACATTTAATTTAGAATTAAAAATCAATAATAAATAAAATACTAAAATATATTATTTTGAAATTTTACTAAAAAATTTTTTACAGTAAGAAATCTGTAAGAGATATTCAGAATAAAGGAAAAATATGCATATTGGATATTGAAATAGATGGTGTAAGAAATATCAAGAAAACTGATCTAAAACCATATTATATATTTATAAAGCCTCCAAGCTTGGAAATTTTGGTAAAAATAGTTATTATTTTTATATAAAGAAAATTAATGGATAAAATATTGATTTAACTAATGTAATTATTTATATGATTTATTTTTATTTTAATAGGAAGGAAGATTAAGAGGTAGAGGTACTGAAACAGAAGAAAATGTTCAAAGACGTTTGGCAAGAGCAAGAGAAGAATTGTCATTTGGTAATTTATTTTTTATTATTTTAATACTTATATATTTAAAATACATTAATAAATAAAATTTATAAATGATAAAAAAAATATTGCAGGTGAACAGCCAGGCAACTTTGATCTTGTATTAGTTAATGATAATGCAGAAGAAGCATATAAAAATCTTAAGAAGTTTCTTTTGCGAGTAAGTTCATTTCATTATCATTTTTTTTTTTAAATAAATTTTTAGGATATTTTATAACTATTTAAAATAATGAAATAAAATCATATTTAATTTTATAGAATGTTTTAGATTATAAAGAACTAATTTTAATCATTTAACATTTCATGAATAAAATAAATTTCCCATTCACAAAATTACTGGCTATTAATGTGTGTTCAAAACAATTTACCTTCATTTTTAAGTATTTGAATTTACACGTGTATTCTGAATTTTTTATGTTCTAAAGATAAAGCTTTATTGTTTGAAAATATTACATTCAATAAAATAACATTTTTCAGCCCTTTTTTTTTTTTAAATTATAACATTAAGATATGAAATGATTTGTACTTAATTAAATTGAAACATTAAATTGCAATGTTAAGACATTAAATAGAATTTACAAAACTATTTTCCATAATCTAAGTTTTGATATTTAGTTAATTGAGTCATTTAAATGTGGAAAGAAGGCTTTTAGTGCTTTTTAGCTTGTTGTCATGTCTTTAAAGCATTGTTTTGTTTGTTATAAACTTAGTCTTTTTGCTGTTGTAATAGTTTATTTTCTGCTGTAGAGATCAGCAACTTTGAAAATAAGTCTGTGAAGAAATGATATTTTAGTAGATTGTATAGTTACCACACATTATTGCTTTTGATTATAATTAACTGGTATTATACTAAAATGATTTATCTTTATTAAACCAATGAAATAAGCTAATTCATATTGTCATTAACTACAGTAATTTATTAACAGTGCTTGAAAAGTTAAAAATATCAGAGAACTTATTTTGCAAGCTGTTGATGTAAAATTCTAAGATATATTCTTATACATAATTCATTTATTTTTCTATCAATTTAAATGTTGTTTGGAATCAAAAGGTTGCTGACTTCTATTTTGGCATTCTAATATCATATAACTTAGTATTGATTTAAAGAATGAATGTTTAAAATTACTTTGTTTTATATATAAATATTTTTAATTAAAAATGGATGATGATGATTTACATAAAGTTATAATGAATAATACAAAAAAAAATGTCATTGACACTTTTTTTGTATTATTCATTATAACTTTACTACATAAATGTTTCTTTTTGAAAATTGTTTGCTTATTTAATATCATTTTATAAGTAAAACTATAAAAATATTTTCTTCGAATAGATTAAATGATTGTATTTCAATTGAGTAACTGACTTATTTTTGTTTTTGCTACATATATCACTTTAATCTATTCAAAAAATATTTCATATCTACTCCCCAACATTAAGTTGGAGGAAAAACGTTTAGAAGTTAAGGATATTCCCTTCATTCTAAACGTTTTTAAAAAGTTTTATTAAGATGTATAAATTTGCAGTTTTGATGGAATTCAAATTATGCAGTGTAGACTTAAAATATGTTACTTTTGAATTTAATGATAAATTAAAACTTAGCACAAAAATCCATAAAGCACAATTAAAGAATTATTATTTTATATTGAAAAAATTAGTTTATACACAAAGCAGTTATGAGAAAAAATATTTTGAAACATTGGAATAAGGATTGAGTGTAAAATAGTTTAATTAATCTTAGAAAAAAGGGCATATTTTCTGTACGTATATGTAACTATTAATAATAATGTAATCTTAAGACTATTGCTGACTGACTTTTTTAGTTTAAAATATAGATGAAGATTATATATTTATTGACATATATTATTAAGTTCTCAAAATCAGATTACTTGTCTACTATCAAATTAGTAAATGATAAAAAGTGAATATTTATTTATTAATTTTTATGAATTTAAGGTAGTAAAACACACACACACACACACATTTTCAATGACCAATGTAATCTTGATTACTTTCTATTAACATAGAGAGATTTTAAATTTAAAACTTTGTTTTTAATGTACATCACATTTTTTTAAAATTAGTTTTTATGATCATTTCATATTTAAACTTTATTTTTTATTCTTCAAATATTTTATTTTTACAAAAATATCCTTTGATAGTTTCTCTGGATTACATTCTATATATTCATTTGAAAGTTTTATTAAAAATATATTTATTCAATTACATTTTTAATCCAATTAGATTTATATGGAGAAAATTGATCAAATAACTCCAGACATCTGCTAGATAACTTTTATATACAGTATTTTAAATATCTTAGTTTTACTTAATAAAATTGAAACTTTACACTTTACACTAAAGTCTTTATATTCTATTATGTATATTTTATCTGGTTATCTTTGTTAATTAATTAATTAATGGACTTTGAAAAATAATTTTTTTTGTCATTTGTATCTTAAACTTAAAAAATATAACCTTAATTTAGAATAAAAATAAAAAACAATTATATATTTGTTTTGAAATCTTTTGCATTTTCTCTGTTATATGCTATAAAATAATGAAATGGCTAATGAATGAATTTATCTAATAGTTATTTCTAAGAAATTTAATTTTATTGACATAGATTCAAGAAATATAAATAATTAAATAAATAAAATTGTTTTTAAATTTTGACCAATTTGGTATAGTTTTAGAGCATAAATTCAGGTTTTTGGGGGATAATTTTTGTATTTATATTGGTGTTAGATAGACGTTACGTCTGAATTTTATTCTTATTTTTATTACTTTTTAAAGTTCTTAATTTACTTCATTAATAAAGTAAGGTACTTCATATTCAGTACTTTTTGTATTGTTGGTTTACTTTAATTTTAATGTTTTTACTTTCTTTTCCTCTTTTATTGAAAAAATATATAATAGATAAATGTCTCTTACTTAACAAAATGTTTCTGAATATGACAATAATAGTATTTTATTAGATTTTTATACTTTAAATTCAAAGTCATTTAATTTCAAATAAATACAAATTAGAAATTGTTTTATTGTGTTAATCTAATTGTTTGTTATTTCATTTATATCATATCATAAAAATAAACATATTAAACAGTTTATAATTATTTTCAATTAATATTAAATATGTTAAATGAAAATAATTATAACCATTTTGAACATTTTCTTCCAATTTACTCATATATAGCTTTTATTAAATTTTTAAAATAGATTATTTTAATCAAAAGAAATTAATAAAATTAAAATTACATATAATTTTAAATATTTGGGAATTTAGTCAAAATATTTAATTTGCTCCCTTTTTGTTGCCTTAGGAAATTGAAGAAGTGAAGAACAGATCAGGCACAAAAGGTGAAAAATGAAATGCCATTAAACATTAACATCAAGATCAATACAATGAATTTTAACCTATTAGATCTGAATTTTTGTAAATTTGATGCATTTTATATGATGCATTACTTCTAATCTAAGAAAAACTGCACTGTGATATATAGGACCCACCAAAACTGCATTATATTTATTTTTTAACTGTTGTCTTTTATTAACTTCTGAACTATTTATTTATTTAAGTTTATTAATTAGAAAAGAATATTAACATTTATTATTTATATATATATTAGTTATTTTAAATATGCATGATTTTCACATTGTATGAATGTCTATTATATTTATATATTATTTATAGAGAATGAATGATATATTTTAGTATTACTTTTTTTCCCCCTCACTCTTCTATGTTTTCCTTATTTTGTTTTATAAATTGTTATCTTCTCATTTGTGGAATCTCATTTTATTATAATTGTAACAATATAAAAAGATATATTTGTGAAACTGGAATTTTAATAAATAGTTTAACAACTGTTAGAGAAAAGAGTATTATTCAATATTTTAGATTTTTCCAAATATAATTAAAAATCTAAAATCATGTTAAATGTTTCAACTTTTAACTTTATAATGTATAAGTCTTCTTTTTGTACTAATCCTACTAAAAGAAACTTGTAAAATTCAAAGCATGTTATGTAAAATACAATTATTTTTAAAAATTAAAATTTAATTAGGTTTGTTTTATTTAATTTACTTACACATTATTATCCTAATGTAGTTTATAGTTTTGAATCCAAGATCAGTAAATTTCTGTATCAGGTTCAATCAGAACTTATCATGATAAAGATTAATTTTAATTATATAATTTAATATTTTAATATATATCTTGCTTAGATTGTTCATTGCAAATTATTTCATGTTTAACCTTTAAAAACTATGTTAACATTAAATATATATATATATATAATGTTAGCATCATATTTTAAATAAATATCATATTGATTAAATGAAAATTTTTCAATACTGAACCTGATACAAGTTTGCAAGATCTCCAAAAAATAATTATAAGTTGCTAAATAACCTAAATTGCACAGGCTCTCCTACGGCGTGGGTGAACCGGAAGGAGAAGCCCTCGGATGCTCAGAGATTACGTAATGGCATTACATGTCGTGGGGCGCTACATGCAGGTTCTCCTCGTGCGTAGTCTCTACCTTTCCTCTGGGGTATTGCTATTCGACATCAACATCAAGTGGAGTGAGTTTTGGGATGTGGTACAGTTGTTATTTTGCAATTATACTTCGTGAAAAGATCTGTTCAAGATTTCCATTTTCTATATTTTCTAGATGTTTATGAAATTGTTTAATGTATGTTTTTGAATTTTTTTTGTACAAATTAGCTAAATGAAGCATCTAAAATTTTTAGTATTTCTTTACAATAGTATTTTTTTTTTTTTTTTTTGTAATGATGTAGTAATAATAATAATTTTTCTGATTGGGTAAACTTTGAACAAATTGTGTGCACTTCGTGCTGAATTTTGTGAAGCATTTTCATTTTTGTATAAAATTCATGTCAAATTGTGCACTATTATTTATCTTCATTTTAACATTATCATAATGCTATCATTTTCTTTTGTCTTTCAATATGTGTCAATATATTAAAAGAATTTAAGGATTTTTTTTATTACTGCTATGAAATCTCATCTTATGTTAATGACTGATTTCTTAAATATGTTTAAGATGGATATTTATATTTTTTATATGATTAAATTAAGCACTTTGAGAATTTAAGTTTTGGATTTGTTTTCTGTTGTAAAACTGTTTTTTTTAATTAAAAAAAAAAACAGAATTTAATGATTTTGATTAATTCATTTGATTGCACTTAATGTGTCTGTAAAGAATTTCAAATAATTTTTTTTGTCAATATTAACATAACAGATTTCTAAATAAGAATTTTGAAAACATTGTTAATACTTTTTAATTTAAATTATCTGCATAGAAAAATTCAAATTCTAACATTATATTTATTTCCCACCAATATTGTATGTGTCCTTTTTATATATATACATTATACATTTGTAAATATGAATGTAAACAGGAATTTAAATCTGTAAAATGTAGATTTATAGAATTTCAAATATGTTTATTAATTTGATTTAATGTAATTCAGGATTATTGAAATGCTGCTACAAATTTTTTGTATATAAATTATTAGTATTGAAAAAATTAAATTTTTTTTGTGTATATTGACAAGAAGAAAAAATTCTTTAATGTGCTTTCAATAAATGATTTAAAAGCATCGTTTTTTATTTTTATTATTTAAAATGCATTTTGAGAAATTTCAATGGGTTTATTTAAGGTGTTTAATTAATAAAATGTGTTAAAAGAATTTTAAAGATGAAGAGAATGTGCGATTTTTAATTCTTTTTTAAAAAAATTCTCATCATTGCTACAATCAAGTTGTACATTTGCCAGAGTTAAATTTAGATTTAAATCGCAGATTTGACCATTAAGTTGCGACGTTCAACCTTCATTTCGCGAGAAAGATGATGAATTAAATCGAGATATTTCATTTTTACACGAATTTATGTTAAGAACTAAATATAAAGTATTGTTTTTAAGAAAATGAATGAGAACTGGATAATTAAAAATTAATTAACGCGCATTTATAACATCATAATTCACTTATTAAGAAGTTTTAATACAAACCTAATAGTCGCCAGCTTTATTGCATGCCATTTTAAATCGTTAATTTGAAACGGTTAAAAAGAATCATTAATCATTATAAAATTTAAAGAAAATTAGTCATTGTCTTGTCCTAATCAATTAATCTAAACAACTGTTGAAATTTTAGAATCACAAACAGGATCGTGTTTAATTAATTAATATAGTCACATGCGATTTTTACTCGTCATTTGAAGTTGAGAAATGCGATTAATTCATAATTATCATACAAATTTATATTAACTTTTTTTTTATTATTTACTCTTATTTTTTAATATACAATACTGTATTAACTTAAATTATTGTGTGTTAAAATAGCGTAGCTCCATCTCTCGTCAAGAAATGGCATTCTTTTTAAAATGAATAATGAAAACACAACATTGACAGGAAAATAATCCTTCCGGTACTGGTTACAAACTACAAACATTATACAAAATTAAATCATAATATTGATAAAATACACATATACGTAATTAAGCAAAATAAATACAGAATTTATTACAAAATGTTAAATTATCAGAATGCTGAACATCAAAATGGCATAGAATATATTAAGAGAGAAAGCAATTAAATGCTTAATTTATTAAATTTTATAGCTATATATATATATATATATATAATTTCAAATTAATAATTTTGTTATAAGCAAATTTTATACTAATTAAAAAAAAAATTTTTGAACTGCCAAAAATGAGGATTTTTACGTGTTGAATAAGAGGTATGATGTTTGGTCGTAAAAATAAATTTGTTATTTTAAGCCAAAAGTCGTTTTGTTTACCAGAAAGCGAGCAAAACGAACGGGTGGATGTATATATAAGTTTAGATACAACTTATGTAAATTTCTTATTGTACTAGATAATTTCACGATCTAAGCTATAAAATCGTGTAAATGGCTCAAGTAAACTTTTCCTTAAATATTAAATTTATTACGTAAATCAAAACATAAAAATTATAAATAGGTATATTTAATATATAAATCAGGGCTCTGGAGTCGCGTAAAAGTCTACCGACTCCGACTAGAGGCGGACTTGTTACCGAAAGAGACCCGGAAATTCTGATATCATCACGTGACCTCAGAATAAAACATTCAATAGAGTTCTAATTAGGGTTTCTTTCCCGGGATTCTCGCCGTTTATTCCTTACGAGAAAAATCCCGGGAAATTTAATTTTCCCGGGAAATCTCGCATTTCAATAATAATTTACCATGTAAGGTTTTCTTTCTATTATTTATTATACGAAAAGTTGCATCTTGAAGACTCACCTAAGAGAGAGGTTTCCTGCTGCATATTATTACCTATGTTTTACAAGTCTCTACTTGTTAGTTCATGTAATATCTATGTATTGTGTTTGCGCATCATTGAACAGCGAGACTTGCTGAAAGTAAATATCACTCATCGCACTTTAGTTTATTTTTTAGTTCATCTTTAGAAGTAAAATAGTATTTTTTTTCGTAATCATTAAAACTCCCAATGAAACGCTTTATTTTACTTTCATCTTATAATGTAGGAGAACNACAAAACAGATAAAGGCACAGATACTTTGATTTTCGCAGATAATTATTCAAAAATTATACTGTATTTTATATTTGAATATTTCATGTGCATCAATAAACATTACAATATACTGTATTTTAAATGTTTGCTGTAAGTTTATAATTAAACTTTATAAATTTATCAACTTTTATGATTTGTACTGTACATAAATATTTGTAATGAATTTCTAAAATTCTTAAAAAATAAACTGTATATTCAAACTTAAAAATAAATTATGACTATATTCAAATTCACAATTTATCAAAGTTTGAATATACAATTTCTATATTTTAATGGGAAATTTTAATATATATTATTTAACACGAGATATATTACGTAACTCTGAGAAACTAGTATAGTTTATACATTAAAAATTTTAATAACACACGTAAGTAACACCTAAATAGGAGACAGTTTTCCATAAAAGATCTCCCCTGAGACATTTCTCTTCGGCATTTCGCCCATGTGTTGCAATAAAAAAAAACTTTAATATTTTTGCCATATTTACTTTCTCAGCTGTTATACATAACAGAGGGAAAGTATGGCGCTCGGTCAAAAAATGCCCCCTCCTAAATTTTTGGACTCAGGACACCTTGAAATTTCGAGATATGCAAAAGATTCGAGGTTTTTTCTATATGTGGGGGAGGCATGATTTTGTTCCACCCTGTTCGAAGCCTAATAATCTCTGTGGTCAGATGGTTTGACATTCTTATCTCATGGTGCCATATCAGGTTTGTCCCGACCTCGGCCACACCTGGCGCAGATTAGTAAGTAGTTAGTAAATACGCCAATGCGTTACTAGGGAAAGTTATTACCCAGAGTGGTTTCCCGTTGCCTTCTCTGGGGCGCGATGTTACGCGAGGGGAACTAATGCCTTCCGGGAGGACTTTTATGGGAAACTGGCCTCCGTATTTAGTCGTTATTGGCAAGGAGAAAACCCGGAAAACTCCAAGCAGCCAGCCTGTCCGATCGCGACGCGAACCCACGACCGAACTCCCAGTGTTTAGGGTACGAAGACCGATCGGCCACTGGTCGAGTGGTCTTCGTACCCTTTCGATCTTTAATTAAGAACCAAAATTCAATAGTATTAATGTTCCTTTATACGCAAGCTACAGTGCCACATTTCGTTTCTTAAACTTTACCCATTCTGAGATATTGTTTAATATCTTAGAACAAAAAATAAAGAAATCAAACAAATTAGACGCCAACACGCGCCGAATTTTTCCTTTTTACTGACTTTTTTGAGGGGTTTGGGAGGTCTCCAAACGTGTATTTGCAAAAAAATTTGGAGGGTCAAATTTGACGCGATTACAATACTTTTCCGTTTTATATACATAACAAGTTGGTAAGTAAAAAGGAGTCGGAGTTGGCGGATTTTTTGACGACACCGACTCGGCTAAAACACCAAAATTCCACGACTCCGACTCCGACTCCACAGCCCCGATATAAATATAACTTACATAAAATTTTTAAACAGACTTTTTCGATTTTAATAAACGGTAAATAAGAGCAAAAAAAAAAAAAAATGGTGAATCATTTAAAAGTTGGATAAAATTTATGAAAATTTCTAGAAAAAGTTTAAAAAGTCATTTAAATTTTAGATTCAACCAGTTTAGAAATTCTATGGAATTTAATGTGTAAAACGAGAAAGATGAGATTATCTTACATTTTATCAGTAATTATTTTTCAGAATTATATTTAAAACTACATAATTATAAGAATTTAAAATAATTTTTTAAAAAGTTTACATCGTCATCGAAAAGAATCGAAGATGTTCCGAGAAATGGAGTGGATTGGATGCCTCAAGGACAAAAGCTAAGATTTACTTAGAAAATTTTCATCCAATTAACTTTCATCCTAGTTGAAAAATTGCAGGCTTCCCAGATCCACGTTTTGATTGTTAACTGTGTGAAAAAATATACTTATGTAACACTGTATTTAAGCGAAGCCAAATAATAGAAAAACGAAATCCAGTTTGAAATATGTAAAAGTTTTGCGAAAATTTATTAGAAAAGCGCCAGTAAAAACAATAAAAACTGTTTATCTTACAAGTGTTATATCGGATGCACGTTTGCCGTGACATCACTCGGTGTCGGAGCAAATATGCGGTAGATGCGGTTTGAGATTAGGTCATAAAAAGGCCAAAAACATCACATAACGTCTAATTATATATGGTTTTACGATCAGAAGAAGCATGTAATATGCCTTATGTTATTTCTCTCTCGAATTATATAAAAATTAGATTTATTTATTTTGTTATTGTAATTATTATATTCCAGTTTTTCAAAATTCACTTCCATTAAAATGTTAAAAATGAATTTTTACATAAGAGAGAGAGTTAGAGAACGAAAGAAAATTTTAACACTATTTATTTATTATAAACACAATGTTTAATTTTACAGCGGCAA